ACAAGCAATCTGCCTCCCTTGGCCGACTGCACGCGGAAATCCCACACCTCTTAAAGCTAAGTCTTCCAAAAACACACAAAATGAAGCCACAGAGAACAGTCAAGCGTAAGCTACGCGGCTAGAATACAGACCTCTACCCACTGACTATGAGAACATCCCCCCTGTCTTCTCTGCGCATCGTAACCAACGTCCTACCGGCACGGGCGCCCGCATTCAGGAAACGAGGGAAAACTCAGATGCTTAATTACACTCACCACCTACTAACTCCCTTTCTCCCTCCCCTCCCCCCCTCCAACCTGACGATTATATAAACGCTGCAATTAACCGACCATTTTTATCCCCCATGTCATGTACCGGCCTTATGATGAATGACTGAAAACAATTCTTTGCCAATACGAGTTTTCAATCGTAAAATGGGAATTTTCTCAGAACTAAGCTAAACTTGACAAAACTAAAAGCTTTACTGGACTCAAATTAAAATTTATCCGATAAACTAAACTAAAAACTAAACTATAATAAAGCCAACGGTCCTGTAAAAGGGATTTCTGGGGATAGGAGTATCTAAGGTGGCAGGCTAACTTAACTGTTAACGCGAGCTGCAGCATAATGGAGAATATGCGATTTCGAACTAAATTGTGCTCACATCAAATGTCAACCTATCAGCACGGTAATTCCCAGATTGACTTAGTTCACGGCCAGCACGGCCCTCGTGCACAGTCCCTACTTGGTTACCTAACTAATCAACCCTTCTCTAACTGTATCTGGTAATATAGTATTGCTGTCTTCTTTCATTCGCTAAGGTGAGAATAAAGTGAAGGGTTGAGAGCAGTGTGCTTAGCTGAAAGATGGATTCGCGACTAGTCCCTGCCTGATTATTAGTCAAAGCTATAGTCGAGGACAACAATAAACACCCCATCTGAGTAAAGTTCAGGCTAGATGCAGGACTAGAAAGTACAATATTGTCCATTGTAACCGGAGAGGGGGTGGGTTGAAATAAGATCTGCTTCTTACCGATAAAACCAGTCTACTCCAAAGTAAAGCTCAAGTGCTCGCAACACAGTTTCACTAAGGACGTTATACCAACAATGGCTTTTCTGGCCTTACTGATGCCGTCATCATCTGACGCCAAACTGTGCTCCCTGTGTCTCCACTACCGTTACTTGCGACTGTCACTGCTGCGCGAAAGAGACACTAGCGACTACACTCAAAGCACTGGCCAGGCCGCACCTGACTTATGCGGAACCAGTCTGGTCTCCTACGAACAGCTCTTCCAGCCTTCGCCGCTTTCAGTCCGCAAAGAATGCCGCTCTCCGCCTAATCACGGGTTGCTATAAAATGTCACCTATCGATCATCTTCATGCGGAGGCCTCTGTCCTGCCGGTCGCCTCTCACAACGCACTCTTAGGCCAGCAGTTTTGGTGGACCTGTTCGCAACCCGGTCATCCAAATCGCCACCGTTACCACGCCCCTGAACCCAGCCGCAGGGTTCGGCTTCGACGTATGGGTTGGAAATTTATCTTGGCAACTACTTCTGGGGGTGGAGCTAGCAATGACATAGCATAGATAGTATTAATTCGGGATGAAGTAAGCTTTGGAGTTTAATCAACTGAGGCTTGATAATAGCAAGAGAAAAAACGATTAGACCTAGACAAGTCTGAATGCAAAATGGAAACCTTAGCACAAAATAGTCAATTAAAATGGTAAGTGGTAATAATTCGTCCAAACAAGAATGCAGCTCCTCAAAAGCTTAGCAACGGTGAGCTCAACTTACGGCGAGTAGGTAGGGTGGGCAGACTTGAAAGCACTGAGGAATACCGGACCACCGAAAAACCGGTTTTTCGTCAATAAACCCGGTGTTTGGTAGGAGGGTAAAAAGTTGATCGTCGGAGGCAAGGGCAAATGGTGCCGCAGAACCAGTCATCCACGAGGAGGATTCTAAAGAAGGATCGACCGAATTCGTGGAATTCTCAGCATCGGACTTTTCTTCGGAAGATGAGAGTCCATGTAGGCTACTGGAGTTGACGGAGCTTTTGTATTTTTTAAAGACAACCTGGTCCAGACAGTAGGGAAGGGGACTCATCAGAGTGCCCGCGAGTTTGTTCGGTGTGGTTATAACTTGTACCTACAGTGTGAGAAGAATGCGTGCAAAGCAGGGGAGAGAGAAAGACAGAGAGGTCAACTTTAAGCATCTTACTCAGCGATCCTCCCATTTAAGTATGTCCCAAATAAACGTTGTTTTATATCACATAATTTCTTCCTTCCGGAAATAAAGTTAAAACTGTACCGCATGTTTGTTTTCCCCATCGTAGAATACTGTTGTCTCCTTTTTGAACTTATGAACGCCTCTGACTGCAGTAACATTGAAATGGTTCAGAGAGTTTTCACTCGAAAACTATTTTCCTCTTCTGGATGCAGTATTTCTTACACGGATAGATGTCTATTTCCTACCCAAACACTCAACTTCTCGACTTCGAAAAGGGTCCTCGCGGCATTTGAGTCTCTCCCCAAGATAGTAAAGGGGTTTCTACATATGTTCACATTTTCCTCTGCAGAGTCAATCATGATTTTCAAATGCCGCCAACTGTTCTCCGTTTTGCAACTCCGAGGGTGGTTTTCAAGGTCTCTGTTGATGATGGTCGCGGGTTTTTACGTTTTGGCCAACTTATTGGTGGACTCTGAAGTCTGCTTGGTCACATCTCGGTGATGCCCTCCTGACTCCTACGGTCCCCTCCTCGTTTCGATTCCGTTGTCCCCGATGAGCT